CATTGTTGCAGGTTACTGCAATATCAAAGAAATGACAGTAAGAAACTTGAAGAAGAAAGAGAAGAAGCTAATAGATTTTCTATATTTCAAGTATACAATAATGACTCCTATTTATAGGGATCATGTCATTTCTATTTGATCACATTTTTGGAGTGGAAGTTAGTTACAACTAACTACAAGTTGCCTAACTACTTCCATGACTCCTAACTAACTAATTCTAACAAACCTAACTACCTATTGGACTTATGTAATTCCAATACTCCCCCTCAAGCTGGAATCTCTATAGACATTAAAGACTCCAAGCTTGTTGATCAGTTCAAGATGTTGAGAAACTCCCAGCCCTTTGGTTAGAAGATCTGCTAATTGCTCCTTTGTGTTGATATATTCTGTGTGTATCATACCACTTTTGATTTTTTCCCTCACAAAATGACAATCAATCTCAATGTGTTTGGTTCTTTCATGAAAAATAGGATTAGCTCCAATTTGAATTGCAGCCTTACTATCACAGTGCAATTTTACAGGAACTATCACATTCACATTAAGTTCTTTCAATACTCCAAGTAACCAAGATATTTCTGATACTGCAGCTGCCATGCTTCTATACTCAGCTTCTGCTGAACTTCTGCTGACTGTATGTTGCTTCTTGGATTTCCAAGAAATGAGTGAATTCCCTAGCTTGATTACATACCCTGTCACTGACCTTCTTGTGTTTGGACATGATGCCCAGTCTGAGTCACAGAATGCCTCCATTTCATTGCTGTCTTCACTGCTAAGTAGTATCCCTTGTCCTGGACATCCTTTAATATATCTAACCAATCTCAATGCAGCTTCCCAGTGAGACACCTTAGGTTTCTGCATGAACTGTGATAAAACTTGTACAGCAAAACATATATCAGGCCTAGTAGTTGTTAAGTATAACAATCTACCAATTAATCTCTGATATGCAGTAACATTTGCATATAAAGGATCATCTGTCTTTGCAGTGGCTTCATCATATTCAACAGTAGTTAATTTGACACCTGATTCTAAAGGTGTGCTTGCTGGTTTTGACCCTCCAAGACCACAGTCAGAAATCAACTCTAGTGCATACTTTCTTTGGCTAAGAATAATACCATTTCTTGATCTTAGTACTTCAATACCAAGAAAATACTTTAGATCACCAAGATCTTTCATTTTGAAGTTACTATGTAATGTAGTCTTTAGATCCTCAATTAGAACACTGCTATTTCCAGTTATAAGAAGATCATCTACATAGATCAACACTGCTGCAATATCATCACCAACTATCTTTGTGAAAAGAGAATGATCATAAGAACTTTGAGAATAACCAGCAGTAACTAGAGCCTCAGTTAGCTTAAGGTTCCATTGCCTGGAAGTTTGTTTCAAGCCATATAAAGATTTCAACAATTTACACACTTTGTTCTCCCCCTGCCTCTGAAATCCTTGAGGAAAGTCCATGTATACTTCTTCATTGAGATCACCTTGAAGGAAAGCATTATGAACATCCATTTGAAAAAGAGGCCAACCATGGGATGCTGCAACACTAATCACAGTTCTCACTGTGACCATCTTAGCTACTGGAGAAAATGTTTCATGATAGTCCAACCCTTCTTGTTGATTATAGCCTTTGGCAACTAACCTTGCCTTGTACCTTTCCACCTCACCATTAGCTTTAAGTTTAACTTTATAAACCCATTTTGAACCAATAGGATGTTTACCAGATGGCAAATCTACTATTGCCCAGGTATTGTTTTGTTCTAAAGCAGCTACTTCAGACTGCATTGCATCCACCCATTGTTGGTGTTTGGAGGCTTCCTTAAAGCTGGTGGGTTCCACTATAACTGAGAACCCCTTGATAAAGTTTTGATAAGATGGTGTCAAGAGTTCATATGACAAATTATTAGCAATAGGATATGAACAAGTCATATTAGACTTAGTTGAAATTATGTAATCTTTATGCCAAAGAGGAGGCCTAGTATTTCTAGCAGTTCTTCTAGCAGGTGTAAGATCACCATCATCTGTGATTTCACTATGTTGTGGCTCCAGCAGATTATTCTCTAAAGAAGCATCAACTTCTGATTGTATAGGATTGATCTCCTCAACATGATCTTCAATAGAATCTACAGGATTTGAAGGTATATTATCATCTGCATGATCAAACATATCCATTTGTATAGGAGCAGTATAATCTGTGGTTGATGATACTTCTTTTGTGATAACATCTTTGAAAGGAAATGAATCTTCCATGAATGTAACCTCCCTGCTCACTGATATGACATGAGTCTCCAAATCCATGACTTTATATCCTTTTTGTGTCTCTGAGTACCCAATGAAGACTGATCTTGTTGCTCTTGGAGCAAATTTATCTCTTCTTGGCAAAACTGATACAAAACATAAACATCCAAACACCCTCAAATGTTCTAGATTAGGTGCTCGTTTATAAAGAAGTTCATATGGTGACTTCCCTTGTAATACAGTTGTAGGCATTCTGTTTATCAGATAAGCTGCAGTTTTAACACAATTTCCCCAAAATCTGATAGGAATTTCACTGTGAAATCTCAGTGCTCTGGCTACATTTAATATGTGTCTATGCTTTCTTTCAACAACACTATTTTGTTGAGGTGTATAAGCACATGAACTCTGATGAACTATTCCAAGAGAAGAAAACAAAACACTGCATTTAGAGTTAAAAAACTCAGTTCCATTATCAGTTCTCACAACTTGAACTTTAACACCAAATTGTGTATTAACCATCAACATAAAGTCTTTCAATATAATGTGCACATCTGATTTGTGTTGAACTAGACAAAGCCAAGTAAATCTACTGAAATCATCAACAATTGTCACAAAATACTGCTTATTATCATGTGTAAGAACTTTGTAAGGTCCCCAGAGATCAACATGAAGAAGTTGAAAATTATGAGTTGACTTAGAATTACTTGTAGGAAAACTCAATCTACTTTGTTTGGCCACTGGACATATTTGACAGCAATTGTATGTGGAGATGTTGAAGTACTTCTTAAGAGAAATTATCTGTTCCATAACTTTGATAGGTGGATGTCCAAGTCTGAAATGCCACAAGTCAGCCAAACTTGCACCCTTTTTTGATGTTGAAGCTGAATTAACTCTTGCTCTAACAGTACTTTGTAGTAGGTATAAACCATCAATCTCTTTACCAATCCCAATCACCTTGCCATTGTAAAGTTCCTGCAGTACACAAAAGTGAGGAAAGAAACTCACACTACAAGATAATTCCTTGGTGAGTTTTGCCACAGATAGTAAATTGAACTTAAAATCAGGTACATGAAGTACATTCTTCACTGTCTGATTTCCAAAAATGACTGAATTGCCTGTATGTTTCACTTGAGCTCTGCTTCCTGTTGGCAACTGAACTGTACTCGAGTATTCATTCTTTGTGTTTTTCAATTCATACATGAGCTCCTCATATGAAGCAACATGATGAGTAGCTCCTGAATCAATTATCCAGTCATATGCAGATGATTTAGTCTGTAAAGAAACATTACCTGTCAAGTTAGCCTTGCAGTCACTTGGTTCTTTGTTGTGTAACAGATTCTTCATTTGATTGTATTCTTTCTTTGTGAATTCAGATTCCTCCCTCTGTTTATCTATTGAAGCATTGTTAGCATATGGCTTAAAGTTTCCAGAATTTCCAGTGTTGTTGTAAGTATTACTACTGTAAGAACCATGTGATCTAAAACCTTCATTGTTGTTCTGGTATGATCCAGTAGAATCTGATTGTTTCCTCTTACTCTTGAAGTCAGAAGGATATCCTACCAGCCTATAGCACTTTTCAGTTACATGATTTTTGAAACCACAGATCTCACATCCAGTATTGTTATTGCCTGGCAATACTTTCTTCCCTTTGAATCCTTGTCCTTGTCCTTTTCCTGCCATCATAGTAAGTGGTTCTTTATTTGAATCCACAACACCTAATACTCTTTGGCTTTCCTCTTGAATTACAGTTGCATAAGCTTGGTTAATTGTAGGTACCTCACTTTTCAGCAACAAATCACTTCTCACATGACTGAAAGTCTCATTTAACCCCATCAAGAACATCATCAATCTTTGTTGATGTAAATGCTCAATGTAAGGCTTAGCATCATCACATTTACATGATGGTGAAGGCACCAATACATCATACTCATCCCATAAATCCCTCAATTTAGAATAATACTCTGTTACAGAATCCGTACCTTGCTTTAATGTGGCTACTTCTGTCCAAAGTTGATAGATCCTAGTAAGATTAGATTTATCAAACCTCTCCTTGAAATCTTCCCAAACTCGTTTTGCATTTGATGCATATACTATTGTTGTTAACAAATTGTTTGCTACTGTGCTGCTAATCCATGAAAGAACCACTGCATTGCACCTTTCCCATTGAACTGCTAATTCATCCTTGTACATACTCTTTAAACAGGTTCCATCTATGAAGCCTATCTTGTTCTTCACCAACAGTGCCAATCTCATCGATCTGCTCCAAAGACCATAATTCTCAGGTCCTGTAAGCTTTGTTGTGATCAATGCAACACCAGGCGTGTCTGAAGGCTGCAGATAGAGTGGATGATTGTGTCCAAGAGTTGCTACAGTAAGTTCTGCCATGGCTATAATCTGATCTTCAAAAATTACTTCGCGGAAAGAAAAAATTCGAAATCAAATTAGTCCTAATTACGCCCGCTCTGATACCATGATAGTTTTTATATATCATGGAGTTAATACTCCATTGTTGCAGGTTACTGCAATATCAAAGAAATGACAGTAAGAAACTTGAAGAAGAAAGAGAAGAAGCTAATAGATTTTCTATATTTCAAGTATACAATAATGACTCCTATTTATAGGGATCATGTCATTTCTATTTGATCACATTTTTGGAGTGGAAGTTAGTTACAACTAACTACAAGTTGCCTAACTACTTCCATGACTCCTAACTAACTAATTCTAACAAACCTAACTACCTATTGGACTTATGTAATTCCAATAAAATGGAAGGTCCTTTAGGAAGAAGCATCACACAACTTAAGCAATTAGTTGTCCTCAATGTTGCTCGAAACTCTTTCAATGACTCGATTACAGAACATTTCTTGAATTTAACTGATTTGAGAGTGTTAGACTTGTCATCCAACTCGTTTATCTTCAACGTAAGTGCAACTTGGATGCCTCGTTTCCAACTTGAGTTTATAAGCCTGCAGTCTTGCGGACTTGGTGCACGATTTCCTCAGTGGCTTCAGACACAGAAAGAGTTGTCATTTATTGATATCTCTCGCGTTAACATCTCAGGACATGTGCCTGATTGGTTCTGGAATTTTTCTGCTAAGGTTAATCACATAGACCTTTCGCAGAACTATATCGGAGGACAAGTCCCTGATTTTACAGAGAGAGTTCATCTTACAAAATTGGACCTGAGTGACAACAATTTTCATGGTCCTTTGCCTCATTTTTCACCCAATATGATGACACTGATTTTGGCAAGTAACTCCTTTAACGGTACTATCGCCCCTGTATGTGAATCGCTTGTCATGAATAACTCTCTCAGTCTTCTAGACCTATCCTCAAATTCTCTATCAGGACAACTTTTAGACTGTTGGAGATATGGGAAGAATCTGCAAGGATTGAATTTAGGCCATAATGATCTATCAGGGGAGATACCTCGTTCCATCGGAGATCTTGCCAATCTCTTCTTTCTGCAATTGCAAAACAACAAGTTCTCCAAAAATATGCCTTCATCATTGAAGAACATAAGTGCACTAAAAATTCTTGATGTTTCTGAAAATAGTTTATCTGGAAAGATACCAAATTGGTTAGGAGAGAGTTTAAATACTCTAGAGATTCTTAAATTAAGCGGAAACATGTTTGACGGAACCATTCCTAGGGAGATTTGCCAGCTTAAATACTTGTATACTTTGGACCTTAGTTCCAATGCACTATCAGGAGTCATTCCAAGGTGTGTTGATAATCTCCGCACCATGTCCGGAGAAGAGGAGGCTCCTTCCTTTACTCATGGACCCTATGCAGATTACAGGGTTCAAGGAAGGATCGTTTTAAAGGGATACAGTTACGACATCTTTTTTCACTGGTCCTACGTAGTAATTGATCTATCAGACAATCATTTATCAGGGGAAATTCCCGAGGAAATCGCCAGCCTTACTGCACTGAGGAGCTTGAATTTATCATGGAATCATTTCACAGGAGCAATTCCACGTTACATTCACAAAATGCAGATTTTGGAATTTCTTGATCTTTCCAGGAATAAGCTGTCATGTACATTTCCTCCCGATATCATACAACTTCCACTTCTTGTGTTTGTGAATGTTTCTTTCAATGATTTGACAGGAGAAGTTCCACTTGGAAAACAATTTAACACCTTTGAGAATAGTTCTTATATTGGAAATCCAAACTTGTGCGGAGCTCCACTCTCACGAGTCTGCTCGGATAATATACATGAGGACATGATTGACTGTAGTATTAACAAGAATCAGGAGGTTCATGAGCAGGGAGAAAGCAACAACTGGCTCGAGGAATATTCGTTCTACACAAGCATGGTAATTGGATTCAATACAGGTTTCTTGTTGTTTTGGGTTACTCTACTGTTGAAAAAGTCATGGAGATATGCATATATGAGGTGCCTGGAAAACATGGGCAATAAGATTTATGTCTTTGCTGCCATCAGATGGAGAAAATTTCAAGCAGCAAAGACAGTGACCAATTGTCCAAATTGAGCTGCTGATTCTCTTTACTTTTCTATCTTTTCTTTTATAATATCGTGTTTTCTACTTCCTACTTGTTGTTTTAAATATAATGTTTGTTTTTATCGGCACTTATATTTTATTGTAATGTTTTTTGTTATGAAGTAACGAAATTGATTTGGTGTAATTGCACAATTACTTGAAATATTCTTCTTGTCTTACCCTTCATCCTAAAAGTTTACCTTCTTTTCGGTACTATTGTAAGTTTATTCTTTCACTTACGAGATGATAGAAAACAATAAAATTGATCCAAATGTTAAATTTATCAAAATAATATAGTCTAACATAATACGAGATGTTATGAAACGATAGATCATATATCATATATTATTATAAGTGGAAAGAATTCATGTCAAAAGTTGAATTACGGTTTTACCCTCCTATAAATTAAAAAGTTATAATTAGTTTAATTAAACAGTAATGACTTTTGAATTTTCTTAGATTAATTCCTATTATTATTGTTGTTGTTGTTGTTGTTGTTATTATTATTATTATTATTATTATTATTATTATTATTATTAAAAGTGAAAAGCTTTTTACTTTAAAATCGAATTATTATTTTACCCCTACTATAAGTTAAAATGTTATAAAATATTTAATTAGTCAAATATTAGAGTTCTCAATAAGTTTACTCTAATATATATTTGTATTCATAACCGAATTTTTATGCAGCCTATAATTACAATATTTAATATGTATTAACCTCTCACAATTGAATTATTATTATTATTATTATTATTATTAAAATATTATTTTGCACACCTTAAGTATAAGTTAAATAAAATTTAATTAATTAATTTTTCAATTACATAAATTGAACGGGATTTGGAAGTGGAAAAGTGGTTCTTGAATGCCCAGAGTCATACATGATTAATTGCTTTAATTTACAAATCATGTATTACTTTACCAAATTCTTACAATTCCTGTAATTTGTCTTCTCATTTCTTAACTTGACTTATCAAATTTTAACACTTTTAAATTAGTAATCAATCTTTGTTAATATAACATCATTAGAATTTGAATAGTTCATTAAGTATTTAAGTGTAGGTTAATTAGTATTATGTCAAAAGAAATTTCAAAGAACATAAAAAGCTCTATATAAAGGTAATAAAAGATTTCCATTTCCTTCAAGTTTTGTTTCTTTAGTTGAGCATCTGACCTTCCTTCTAAGTTTCTTTTTTTTTCCCTTAAATTTTTCCTTTTGCATGAACTAGAAAATGGAAAATGGAGTAACATGTATAGTTGATACATGTTGGAATTGAATAATTGTCATATCAATTTACATGCAACATTCATTGAATGATATACGAAGATTACTATCTCCGTAAGGAGTGCCATCAGAAATTCATGAGCTATGAAAATGAAGAAGTTGATTTCTTTGAAATACTAATTTTAAAATATTCATTAATTGATTTATTTTTATAATGTACTGTAATTATAATTGCTTACGACTATAGATAAACGCGATGCTATTTGTGTATTGAAAAAAATATTTTTTATTTTTTTTATATTTTTGTAAGGTTTCTTTATATGTATCTTCAGATTTGAACTTACTAATTTATTTTATAGAAAGAATAAGAAGTATATGCATCATATATAAATATAGTATCAATATTTAAAAGAAATTTTTCTTTCATTTTGATATTATATCATTGAATAAAAACTATTTTAGCTACCACAACATATAGGAATCTTTCACTTGAATAGTCATATAGAATTACTATTACGTTTTCTAGCTGAGTATATATATATATATATATATATATATATATATATATATATATATAGTTTTTTTTTTATAGTTTAATCAATTGATGAACAACTATTTATTTTAATTCTTCAAAAATAATCTTAGTTATTTTTTTTTGCTACTTTATTTTCAAAACTAAATATATATGTAATTTTTAAAATAGTATTAATGAAAACACGCGCAACGCGCGTGCACAGAAACTAGTATGACATATAGTGGAGAAATCGTAAAGTTATTTAAATCTTAATGAAGATAAAAAAAAAATATACTAAGAAATTTCTTCCCATGTGCTCAAAGGTATGGTGAGCCCTAAACTAGGGTAAGATAGTAAACATCCAGTGAAATTAACTAATATGCGTGTAAACTGATTCAGACACCACTGTTATAAAATAAAAATGAAATGATAATAAACAATTACAAAAAGAACTGTATCCCAAATGAGAAATGTTATTTTGGGTAATGTTTCAATAGTTACATTTTTTTTTCCTTTATAATAAAAAGGGGAATAAGCTTCTATGTAACAATGGTACAAGAGAATATTATATACTACTAATAATAGAAGCTAGATGGGATTTCTAAGCCCACCATGGAGCATCACCAGTTCTGAAGTCTGTTTCAACCCATGGAACAAACACCACTTTCCCATCATCAACGTCTGCATGAGCCAATGCCAAGGACTGTGCCAACAAAAAAAAAAAACACAATGTTAGTATCGGTGTCGAATCCATCTGAACCTAGTACTTTCGAGACGAAACATAAATTTACGTTAACATCCATAAAATAGTAAGAAAATAGTAGGGAAGACATTGAAATTCTGTGAAACTCACATGTTAAATTCTAATTGGGACTCTACAAGATGTACTCGATTCCACTTAGGATTGTTTGAGGCTACTCTACCCTACAACCTAGCTTATGTCTATATAAAGCGTATTATATTCCCTTAAAGTGACATCTCAAATATCCTGTTAACGCTTGGAATATTCATAAAGAAATCAAAATATATCACTATTCTTATAATCAAATACTTCAAGAAGATTCACAAATTCTATCATCTTTAATTTGAGAAATACGCTACTAGCTACCCTCAAATTAAGGAAAATATCCAGAGAGAAGAATAAGGGAGAAACAAAATTACACCGATAACTATTTATCAATAGTATTCTTGTTTCTTCCGATCTTATTTGTGATTAATTTATTTTTTATATATTTAAAACTTGTTACAAACAAGTAGATATGAACATACAACTATAAAAATACATGAATTCAATGGTAAAAACCTTTTGTAAAGGTTAAACATGTAATGTTTAGATCCTAGATTCACTCTGTAAACATAGCATGTGTCATTATAAATGTCGTCCCTAACCAAACAAAACCAGTGAATTTAGAATGAGCGTGATCTTAATGTATATATTCTTATAAATAGTTGGAGCTAGAATGTGTTCAGTTGAACCGACAGAAGCCGCCCCTCGAAGCCAAAAGGCAAAAGGGTGATTGATAAGAAAAATATAAAGACAAGTAGTAGAGCATTTAAAACAGGGGTTTTGAACTTACTAAAGGAGCAGGTCCTCTAACAACTTTTCCTTGATTGTTGTATTGAGATCCATGGCAAGGGCAAATGAACTTGTTCTCAGCAGTATTCCACGGCACGACACAACCAAGGTGAGTGCACACAGCATTGATACCATAGGTCGCGAGTGTTCCATCGTTCTCCACAACAAGGTAAGTAGGATCTCCCTAAAATATCTTCAAGTTAACACTAAATTTCGCAAAGAAACTATGACACTGAACGAAAAATGTACGAGTACCTTTAGTCCTTGTGTGAGGGTTCGAGTTCCAGGTGCATGAGTTTTGAGCCATTCAGTCACAACAACATCATTGCCATTAGCATCTTTGGCAGGGGTACCACCACTACCACCTCCTGAGCTGTTGATCAACTCCAGATAGAACGAAAAAATCACAAATCATGGTTAGTTACACAAACGTAACAACAATGTCTCGTATGAGATAGATAGATAGATAGATAGACAGACAAACAGATTGATCAAGCCCGTCTATGATATACAAAAGCCTTTTATCTTTTGTGAGTTACAAAGGAATTGTTAACACATCAAGTTTCCATGTCATTACATTTATCTATATGTCCCTATCTTATCGACTTAGAATTGAACAAAAGAGTAACATAGCTAGAGCCTATTTGCATCGACTTATTTTAGGCATTTTTAAACAGTTGCAGTGTTTAGGTAAGATTGAAAAGTAATCTTATTAAGCCATTGTTTTTAACCCAAAATAAGTCATAAGTTAACATAAGACGTTTGGATCTTAAGCAATAAGTCCATCCAAACTTTACACCGGTTATATAGATATTAGTTATGTACCGATAGTTATTTTATTTTCTACCCTGCATAACTTACTTCTTAATTAGCTATCAAACGTCGTATAACTTATACCGGAATTAATACATCAAGTATGAGGAAAGGAAGAAGGAACTAACCCAGGAGGTGCAAAGAAAGTAGCATAAGGTACAAGCATTCCACCAGTTGGTAAAGCAAGTGCACCCAATAAAAGCAAATTCATAAGATTCCTTTTCTCCATATCAGGCACTCTATCATCTGCTGGAATACTAGCTGCCATACATTTCACTTTCATCCTCTTATTATCCTTTCCCATTCCATGACCATTAATCTTCATCGGCTTCACAAGCAAGGCTTGTGAAACCGATGAAATACCACTTTTGCTTGAGCATAGCTGAAAATTATAACAAAAAACTGTTACAGTAGTAGTTGAGTCAGAATTTTCATTAAAAACTATATATATATACATATAACAAATAATTTTTAATAAGATTTATATATACAGTATAATTTTTCGATGGATGTTAGCCTAACTAGCTCCGCGCATTACCTGAGAAGGAGTTACATGAGAAAGAGTGGAAGAAGCCATGTTAATTAATGTGTGTGTTGAGAAGAGAGGAAGTGGATGGGGATGTTATTCTTGTAATGTAGAGAACAATAGTAGATTACTAGAAAGATGATGAGAGTCACTCAATGACTAGATAAGCCAAGTAACTAGTATAGCCACACATTTGGATATTAGCCATTTTCAATTGTTTCTATTTTCTATTGGTGGATTGTGAATTATCCACTTTACATTTCATATCCAACAAATGAGTTGTTTGGGTCTAGTTGGGCTTATAACTCCACTTTAAAAAAACCATTTTTGTGTAATAAGTCTATAAAAATTTGGAAATGGGCCACTTCATTTGGTTTGTGTCTTAGTAGCTTAACTTGCACTTAATTTTTAAAATGGTAACTTGCAAAAGTTTCTATCCGTTTAGAAGATAATTACTTAGATATATGCTAGTTTATAATATTACAAAGCTTATCAGATTTTGATATGTCTAGATACGTTCAGATACATGTATCTTAGGATATATGAGGTTAAAATTAGGTGTAATTTGTTCTACATATACTGTATCCAAGTGAATTTATATGTATCTGAGATATATAGACGAATCTCGCTAGCCATTCTCCTACATCGTTAGCGTATCTGAAATATGTAGACAAGTCTCACTCGTCTTTCTCCTATTCTTGTTCATCTCTTTTCCTATTTCAGTATACCTGATAGTAAAAAATATGTATCTAGGTGTATCTAACTTAAAATTTGATATAAAATTATTAATTAGTGAGACAAAATATAATTATTTCAAACTTTAGACAGAGTTAGTAAATACGGTAAGGATGTTTGATTAATCAGGTAAAAGTTTGTTTGGAGCATAATTATTATTGGTGGCTAAAATTTATCTAATTATTATTGGTAACCACTGGTTTGAAGTTGTATATGTAATAATATTTTCACTAGTGACTGTTTTGGAGTTGTATAAGTTGGTTCGATTTGATTGTATCAAACACATAATATTTTGCTAGATACATTGTATCAATTCGTCCAATCTAGTTATATCAACACAAACAATATCATTGGATACATCATTACAATACATTCTATTATCATTTTGTATGAGTTGTATCAGTACATATAATACACTTTACAATCATCACCACAAAACAACACACATACACACAACATATATATACTTTCTATATAGATGCAACATATACTTGTATTATTGAGTGTATGCTCCTTATATGTATCAGAAATAGACTTATGATACAAGTATATATTCACTTTATTTCAGTCAATGTATCATTGTTGATACACAAGTATGGTTGAGCTCATGAATACACGTAATTTTAATATAAATATAAGATCATATCAAAATAATAAATTGAGAATTATGATAAACAAATGAAAATTTATTGCCGTGGTCTATTTATTCCAATCATTAAATTATACTAATCAATATATAATGTCCTTGATATTAAGTGTTGATTTTATCAACTCGAACCATATGGACCAATAAGTCACATACAAGTCCAAAATACATTACTCAAAAAGAGGTACCCAATTGTTACACTACTACATAAATCCTCATTGCCAATGATTCACCCAAAATATTTTGGTACGAAATCAACTAATAACAACAACATATTCAATGTAGATAAAATAACACAGTATGAAATATGTTATTTTAATTAAACTTAGATCAATTTTTTTTACCCAACCGACTTAAAATAGATTGACTATATAAGCACAATCAATTTTCAATAGAAGAGGAAGCATCAAATAGTTACCAACTTATTAATTACCATCTCTCTTATTGAATTTTCTTTTCACAAATTCTAACTATTATAATTATGAGCATAGAAATTCATCATAACACATAATAGGAGAAAATGGAGATATAAATAGTCCATACTCAACTTCTAAAGGCACACAAAATTCAGTATTATTATTAGTAGTACTATTAAAACTATCTATTAAAAATGGTTCTGTCCAAAAATTTCCAATGCATTCTTCAAATGATTTTTCTTGAATCATCTCACATTTTCCATCCATAATATCTTCCATATTTTGGTCAATTGTAACACAAGGAGAAACTTCACTATATGATTCATTTGGTGTAATATTTTGGTCTTCATCACTTTTTTGATTGACATTACTTGCCTCTCTCTTTTTTCCATTAGATATTGTTAATTCATGTTTTGATCTTTTCTTGAGAGATGTGTGCCAATGATTTTTTATTTCATTGTCTGATCTTCCTGGTAAGTGAATAGCAATCGCTGACCATCTTCAATAAAGAAAACAAAATTTACATTAGAATTTTGTGTGTGTGAGTCTTGATTAAAGGATAAAACAAATTAAAAATATTTGTATAGTTATAAATAATTACAGTAAAGATAAAATGATATGTTTAAAGTTAAATAAAAATATTTTTTGTAAATCGACTAAAAAAAATAAATTGCTTACTTATTCCCAATTTCTGCATGAAGCTTCATGATGATCTGGTCTTCTTCTCTAGTGTAGTTTCCTCTTTTAATATTTGGCCGAAGATAATTAAGCCATCTTAATCTGCAGCTCTTTCCGCACCTTGATAATCCTTCACAAGGAGAAAAACATCACTAAGTGAGATAAAATAATGAATGTACTTATATTCATTTTTGGCGCAAATTGTGTTTTTTTTTTAAAAAAAAATTATTATCAATGTATTATAAACTATTGTATACGTCATTGTTTTCAATTTTTGACAATATATAAGTAGATTTTGATTCAGAAATAAAAAGCGAAAGAGGTTCATTTAAATTTTCATTAAATTTTTTCAAGAGATGGTTCATTAATAGATCGAAAGATAAGTAATACAACCCTTCACATCCAAATATACATAAATAGTAAATACTTAATTTTTAATCTATGTTTTGCCTCTTGCCACTAACACTTAATAAAAAGAAGATTCTACATATATGTCCCAAGATGACATGTCATTTTTTGTTTCGAATTTATGTTTTATAGTGTGGATAATTTTTTTTTACAAACTCACTCTGAGGTCATCTAATATAAATCACTTTAAAGTATGAGATTTAAAATTCATAAACTAAAATAAGTTTCATGCGCTACCTCATGATTATATAAAAGTTATTCATAACGATGATATATATTACTTTAAACTCGTTTTTCAAAAAGAGTGGAAAAAATTGGAGATAAAATACCAGCAAACTTTGGAAGTTGACGCCAATTCCAACAGCCATATTTATTAACATAAGCTGCTAATTTTTTATCTTCTTCAAGTGTCCAAGTACCCTTTTTTAATCCACTTTTTTTGTCATAACAACGTATTCTTGCCATTTTTTTCTCTCTCTTCCTTATTGTTATGTTTTTCTTTTTGTATATATAGGTAAATAAATGTAATATTATTGTACCAAAAGATATATAAAGTGAGAAAAACGTGTAATATTGTGTGAAATGAAAATAAATAAATAAAATAAAAACGTTGAATATTATCTATAAGGTGTGGTCCTTCTAAGAAGACTCATTTTGTGCATTATCTCTTTTGTGATTCATGTTTCAATTTGGTCCTCACTTCTCTAATTCTCCAAGTTATATAATGCCCCACAAGTCAGAATCGAAATTGATTATTCGAAGCTAAAAAAAGTTATTAACTTATTGATAAATAAATTATTGATTGAATGGTTAATTTTTTAACAGTTTGAGATTTTTCCTATCTGATTATTTAATATCTAATCTGATAGTAAGTTAATAAATTATACTTATATCATTCAATATATAAAGTTCTTGACTTAGGGTTTTTTTTAATTATATTTTTATTTCTTGTTGTCTCAAACTCTTGGTTATTCTACAATGTATCAATGTTTGCTTTTGAGCAAGATGCAATATGTCAACTCATCTGCATGATTCATTTAATTTGTCTTATAAGTTCGGTTAACCGATAACCAAACTTATAACAATCAATAATCGATAAGTCAATATCTTAATAGTTAAATACCAATTTAGCATATCCACAAAGCAATACCACTGGTGAGCGGTGATAGTCCCAACTCCCATTTTAAATTATTTTTCATGTTTCTTATTTATATGCCACCTAAATAAAAGTTAATCAACATAATTATTTTTTTATTTATATCTTAAAATATAATCCGAATATATCTATATTTATTTATGTATCGTCTTTTCGTAATTGAATAATATTTTTTATTTACATGCAAATATTAAAACAAACTTAAAAGATCACTTATTTTTCTAGAATATATATACTAAAAGCATTCACACACACTCTCATCAGACTCATTTTTCCTTCCTCTTTCATTTATACATTGTTTGAGTTGAATTCGAGTGAGATGTTATAAACATGACAACTAATTTGAAAGGAATAAGAAGCTATAAAAGTTAAAAGTGTATATTGTATATTAGCAACTAGCATCCTTGGTTAAGCATATATATGTTGATAATTCAATGAAACAATGTTTGATTTTTCTTCTGAAATTGTTAAAACTATAATATACTTTTTGTCTCTTCATGATATTTGGTACCACTTGTCTTGCATACAGTGAATTTGTGTCTGAAAAATAATTGAGCTATAAAAACTAATTTGAAAGGGAATAAATTAAAGTCAATTTATATTTTCACTAAGTATGCCAATTGGTAAACGGCGTTGAGAGAGTCGTCCATGTGACAAAATATCTATGCAGCCAAGTTGGGCTCTCACCTTACATCTATCGTTGAAAATTTACGAATATTTCACTAGTTTAAGAGTTAATTATCTAGATATATTTTAATTTTTAATATTAGAGACTTTACCAGATCGATTTTGGTATGTCAAGATACTCAAATACGTTCGGGTATATGTATCTCAGGATTAGGTATAATTTATTTAACAAATCTCGCTTGCCTCCCACCTATTACACTCGCCACTCTCCTATGTATATGGATACCAGATACATGCGAAAACACCAGATATATACATATATATGTATTTAGTGTATATCTAGTGTGATTCATGACATGTATCTGTTGAGATACATGAGTATATATCTCGCTCGCTTCCCTTCCCTTCCCATCTCGCTCTCCCTATTTTAGTACATCTAGTAGCAAAATTACATCTATCTAGATTACATACCTTTCTCAATATATATGGTAAAAAATATTTAATTAGTGGTAAGATACATAATCATTTGAAACTATACGTAGAATTAACATATATGATATGAATGTATGTTTAATAAGGTAATACTTCTAATTTATGATAATTATTTATTCCGTTTATTTTTACTTGTTAAATTTAAGAAATTAAAAAATAATTTACTATTTTATATTAATTTTCTTTCTATTATTATTTCTACTATACTTTCAACGTTTAAATGTCTTGCTATGAATAAATAAAAATAATATATAGTAAAATAAACATGGCCAATTAAGTTCCTTTTTGTTCATTTTACATAAGTGACGACCTGTTTGCTCTTGTCTTCTAAAACATGATGCACCTTCATGGGTATCATTATTGGGAAAAAAGTTCCATACATGGAAGTAGTTTTACTGTATTAAAAATAATTTTTAAATATAATAGTTTAATAGTCGTTAAATATGTATATTTTATATTAACAATAATTAACTTTTTTTTATAAATATTTTCAAAGTCTATCACAACAATGAATTGAATTGTTATAAACGTATCTATCAAATCTCTAATTTAGATCTCAAATTGTGAACAATCACTCACTTTTGACAGTTATACGATTCTAGAAGATATTCCGTTGAATCACAAAAGGTATATTGACCTGCCGTATTGAAATTGTAGGATGTATTTCTCAAAATTTGTGCAATAATCATTTAATAAAGGCAAACATGCAAGCTAGCTATGAAAGTGAAACATGAGGAATTCATGATGGACACTATAAAACATTAATCTAATGACAAAGACACATGCATCAATGTGTTTAATATGTTTATCATGTTTAACGGAGGGGTGTTATACTCCATAAAAATGGTCTTTATGATTAATTAATTAAGTAATGGTAATTACTCAAGTAATTACCGCTAAATACTATTTTAGTGGCTATCAATATTTTTTGTAAATCTCTCTAAAATCTATAGTAACATTAAATTAAATATCAAGTAATTTGTGTTTTTAAGAGATTTAACATTCTTTTTAAATATGCACATCAAAGTTGCCACTAATACAGAGTGTCAGTGGCAACATTTTACAACTTATAATAGCGACTAAAGTTGACACCAAAATAGTCTTTTAGTGGCAATAAATATAGATTTAGTGGCGATTAAGTTGCCACTAATACGGTGTTTTAGTGGCAATGATTATAGGTTTCAGTGGCGACAAACATGACACTAATGGTGTTGTTTTTGTGGCAGTGATTATAGTTTTAGTGGCGACTAAGTTGCCACTAAAACAGTGTTTTAATGGCAAAAGTTATAGATTATCGTGGCGACTATGTTGCCACTAATTACAGTCTCTTATTGACGACATTTTAGCTTGTGGCGACCATATTTGCCACTACGACAATCTTTTACTGGCAACGTTTATAGCTTTTAGTAGCGACTAGAGTTGACACTAAAACAATGTTTTAATGACAACAATAATATGTTTTAGTGGCGACTAAAGTTTCCACTAGAATATTTTAGTGACGGCAAAAGTTGACATAAATACAGTGTTTTACTGGCAAGTTTTATAGCTTTTACTGGCGATAAAAAATTTCCACTAACAATGTTTAGTGGCGACTAAAGTTGACACTAATACAGTGTTTTAATTGCAACAATCATAGGTTTTACTGTCGACTAACTAATACTATCTTTTATTGGCGACAAAAATTGACACAAATACAGGGTTATAGTGGCGAGAATTTACACTTTTGTTGCGTCCGACATTTATAGCTTTTAGTGTGACTGAAGTTGACACTAATACAACAATTATAGGTTATAGTGTGAGTTGCCAGTAATACTCTCCTTTAGTGGCGACATTTATTATTTGGTTGCGACTAAAGTTACCCTTAATCTATCTTCCAGTGGCGACTTATGTTCTATAAAAATGATTTTTATGATTAATTAAATAACTAATGGTAATTACTTAATTAATTGCCGCTAAATACTATTTTAGTAGCTATTAACATTTTTTGTAAATCTCTTTAAAATCTATAGCGACATTAAGTTAAATATCAATTAATTTGTGTTCATAAGAGATTTAACAGTCTTTGTAAATATGTACGTATAAGGTGCCACTAAAATCTATATTTATTATAGTGTGTATATTATGCAGTTTAGTTTGATTTTCATCAAACCAAATATTATATAGAATAAATATAAGTAGGAATTAGTGATGCATACCGTAAGAAAAAATTTGGGTTACAGAAATAGTCACATAAGACAAGAACATATGTCCTCGGGGATGGCTCTATTGGTTTGAAGGGTGGTCATCCACCCAGATGACTCGAGATTGATTCCCTTAATATTTTTTAAATTGAGTTTGTCGCATAGAATTTGCTTAGTACAGTTAAAATTTCATTTGTTTGTAGATTATTATACAATGAAAGATTTACCCAATACGCACAAAGTGCTCATCACAGAGTACTCATCCAAAAGACAGAGATTGTAACAGAAGTTATAGCGACCTCAGTTAATTTAAAAAAAAATAAAAGAAAGAACATACTTATCATGTTTATTAGAAATAATCGAACCCAATAATTAAAACATGTCAAGTTGAAGTCGTAACATAATTAATTAAGTGGCAACTGGCAAGCTCTAAATTAGGATCTTTACTTAATACCTAAATCATATTTCATCATTTTAATTATTAAAGTTGTGGGCACTCGGCAGCCTTCACTAATTTAATTTGTTCTATATTCATTTTAAAGTGCTTTTGCATTCTAATTAAATTAATATAGACAAGTTTTGTCTAATTATATTTATTTTTTATCATAATAAAGTAACAGCAACGTAATTACTCCAAAGAGTTTTTCTAAAAGAAAAAACCAGTTGTTTGTCTTATAAAAAGACTTTCAACTTCTATAAATTGAGTATTTTTTCTTTGTGCATATCCATAAAACCAGTGAACGTATCTGGAAGTATCAAAATGTAGTAAAATATATAATATTACAAACTAAAACGTATTTAAATAATTATTTCTCAAACTAATAAGATTTATGTAAGTCGCCCAAATTGATTAAAAATGATAATTTGCTTATGTCTACTTTTTTTCATTCAAAATTTGTCTTGTCAGCTTTCGCATGTCGCCTTATTGTTTGGACCCACAACACCCATCAACATGGTTTGTGAGATTTAAACTATACACTTAAAAAATTGCAACTATCCAAACCCTACCAAACAAACAAAGAAAAAAAAAATTCACCTTTGTTCTATAGCTCTATATAAATTGAATCACATATTTTCTTATGTCCAAAACTTTGTGTTTTCCTCAACCAAAAAAAAAAGAGGGGTCAATGAAGAGCAAATTCTTTCATTGTTTTCGTCCCATTGTTGAGGATTCTGTTTTTCATAATCATGCTATTGATCAATCTACTTCAAGTATTATCACAAAAAGAAGTGAGAAAAATGATATATTGGTTAGTCTTTCTTCATGACAATCTAATAGTCTTTTTTCCTGCTATATGTGTGTCTAGTTTGCGAATATAATCACCCTTAAATTAAACTGTGTGATCATCTCATGATGAGTAATATATTTTTATTTAAAACATGAGTTACTTTATACTGAATATATATTAACCCTCAAATTTATGACTTATAACTATGTTTTGATATCATGTTAAAATTTGTTTCACGTTACCAATAACATTAGTATTAATTATTTGAAATAATACATATTTATTTACTTAATTATGTTTTTAACATAACCGTCTAAGGCGTCATGACTAGAGATTGGTTCATTGTATTTTTGCAGTTTGAATCAAAAAGTAATAGGGGAAATATAAGAGATGGTGAATCAAGGAAGCAAGAAACACAACATAAAGAAATTACTTCAATTGGCACTTTATGTGAGGGAAATAAGTCATCAAAAAAATATTCATATAACCATAAAGAATCCTCAAGTGCTTCAACATCATGTCATGATGAAAACAAGAAATCTAGCACTAGTGTTCATTTGATTATTTTCACAATATTTGTGACTATTTATTTTGGTAGAGTTTTGGCTATATTTTTAACATTATTATGGATTCTATTGTTCTCCATAATCCCCAAGTCAATTTTTAGAGAATAATTTCTTTAATTAGTTGGATGTGGATGTGAAAAAACAGAGGTATTGTAAAGGATGTAAAAATAACATACATTGTACAAATTGACTTGTCTTTCAATGATTTAGTTACAAAATATCTAGCAAATCTATAGATTTTGTATATAGATAATGTCCTGCCAAAAATAAGGAACGGGTAATACTAAATGACCAGAAATTTAAAAAGTTTAGTACATTTTTTAATTTTAAAATAAGTCAATATTTTTTTTATCTTTTAATTAAAAAGTATTAAAGCTAAAAGAATAAAATTATTTAAAAATGTGAAATAACATAGATGAAATATCATTCCGACCAAGTAAAGTATTAAATTAGGTTGTTGGACCTAACATAGATGAGGATTTGATAAAGCACATCTCCTCAACCCCCGGACCTTATTCTTTTTATGGGTCAAGCACATGAAAATTCTTTATTATTTTTAATTAGTGATTAAATTCCGATAATCATCTCAAATAAAAACACTTTATCCTCCAATTTTTTTTTTGACATAAATCTAAATTATTAAACCTCAAAACGAATATTAAATATCAGGTGAAATAAAGAAAAACGAAGATTTAATAAAAACAAATGTGAAAATAGCAAGTTGTTTCCATGCTATAAGATATTCCCACTTTCTAATTAAATATTTTTTTTCCCAAACACATTTGGTTGTTACATAAGCCACTAGGAAAAAGTAGCCAAAATTATGGTCTTAAGCATGGAAATTAAAAAGAGAAAGAATCATTTCACTAAAGTAGAATCCACAATTTACGCTGTTTTTTTTTTAAGAAATATATTATTAAGCTTAGATGCATTATATGATGAAAAGGAAAAGCAAAAACACTAACAAGAAATTAAAAAAAAAAGATTATGCTACGTAGTAATCCGTTCTAAATTATTTTAGTTAGGCTAATTGTGTTTCTTTTTAGATAGAAAAATGGATCACAAATAAATACTCTTTTTTTGGATTAAAAAAATTGGAACATAAATACCTTTTTGTTTTGGACAAATTACATTACTACTTAATCATCATATTATTATTTATTTGTTGCCAAATTGCCAGATACTATATGAGATGTCTTTCAGAAAGCACTTCAACTTCTTCTGCATCATATGAAAATAAAACAACACAAACTTTTAATTAGAAATTAAAAAAAATGCACATTTAAGTAAAATATTTAGTATCAATATCAATTTGAGTATTATTAATTAATTAATATAAGTTGTTGTACTTACACAAAAGTTGGATGTGGATTTATTCTCATTTTCTTCTGTTTCCATCCGTTCATATCTATGCTCCTTATTTTTTCGACGAAACAAACGTGAAAATGACGATCCTACCCTTCTTATCCATCTCTTTTTCTTGAAAAATCATTCAAATACAAGAAAATTTAAGTAATCCTAAAGTTGAATAATTTTGTCACCAAAAATATCGTTGAATTTGTCACAAATTCAACGATTAATTCATATTCTTTGATACTTTATAGTTTATTCTGACACGATATTTCATTATATTTGGAACTGACTAATAAGAAGAAAAAATGTCACATAAAAGGCCTAGGAGCCGTTTAGTAACTTGTCATGTTATATCATGTCTAATAAAACATGAGTTTTTTTGCTTGTATAAACTTTTTAGACGAATTATACTTTGAATGATATTCTGACATAAATGTTCATCGAAAATTTACTCTTTTTTTAGTAGTACATCAAAATGGAATTATGAATTTACCTTATGCTTTTGTTTTGTATTATCATGCCTTAATTCATGAGCATAGGCCAAAAGTTGTGCATGACGATTGTACCCTTTTGTTCTTGTTGTGCCCTTAGGTCTCCATAAAAATTCATTTGCTTGACTTCTTTTCAATTCATCAAATTTGTGTGGATCTATGGTTGATGAAGATTCAACATAAACACTAATAATCACCCCTTTCCGAGCCATCGATCAAATGATTAATGTTCTTGATAATCCATACGTGTTTTAAGAAGAAATTAAGATTGAAATCGCGTTCAACAGTCTCTCCTCTTGCCGTATTTCTTTGTGTTTTTAGCTTTTATTGATGCTACTAAACTATAGAATCAAGACTATATATATTCGTTCTTTAATAACTCCATTGAGTTTAGAGATGAAATTGGAGCAGTTGAAATTTTTCCAATTTTATGCATATGTGTACAACGCAACCACTCCACTAAACTCTATGTCAATTTATTCTTATGTAACATGAAATGGTATTGTGTTATCAAATTTTTAATATTATTGCAACACAACAGTAGCATACCATTACAATATATCAATAATATATCCAATATAATTTTTTGAATAGAGGTCCGGAGGATAGAATATACGTCAGATTTATATAAATTTATAAAATACAAAAATTATTTTTGATAGAACCTTTAACTCAAAACAAATATAACTAAACCGTGATATAAAGGAAAAAATGGCAGCAACTTACTAGCAAGATAAACTACAATATTTGGCTACCTATATAACCCTTCTATTCTTTTTTTTTCTACCATCAAATCTTTCTATCTATGGTTATGTCCTCGATGGATGTGATATGTCCTATCTAATTTCTTCTTGCCAATTTTTCTTCGGTTGGCTTATTTCTATTTCTCGTAAGATCTATTATAGTCAATCCTTACACTTTTATCCTTCCTCTTCACATGTATGAGTCTTTTCAATTTCATTTTCCTCATCTTATTTGTCATAGAGTTCACTGTTATCTTGTCTCCAGAACCTCATTTTTGAGTTTATCTCTCTAAATATGCTCATATTCATCTAATCATCTCATCTCCACCATCTTCATTTTTTGAACGTGTGTATTTTAGATTGATCAACAGTGTCGCTTACAATAAAGTAGGTCTAACTGTCCTTCTGCAGAATTTAAAAAATGTTACGTAAATCAAAATGTAAACCTCGTAGAGTACATGCCTTTGCTAGATCTAGTAGCTAGTAGTCAATCATTTAATCTTTAACATAATTGCATAGTAAAATTAGTGTCAAATCAATTGAGAAAGACTTAAAAGAGTTAACAAATTAAGGTGTCTTCTCTTTCACATATTTGGTCAAAATTAATTATGGCCATGTATATCTTTTTTTCCCAAGTTGATGTGATTGCCTGCCGATAAGCATATTCACCAAATATTTTTCTAAAGAAACGAGGTGGATAATAATCCAAATTGTGGCATAAAATCAAAATCTAATCAATCTCTAGATATTTATACAGTCAATTAATTATTTTTAAGAAAATCTTAAAATATATAATAGCAATATAAGTAATATAATTTTATAAGTAAAATTTAAAAAAATAAATTATTCGAATAGTGAATATTATTTAATTCTAGTCAGATCAATCTTTAAATTATAGCTGGCCGAAAGAAACAGTGAAAAGTAAGTTTTTAGGGAAAGGTAAAAAACGAAAAGTAAAAAAAATAAAATAGTAAACATATAATCTTTATCTTTATCCTAAAAGATAAAAAGTCTATTTTAAATTTGAGATCTAGTAAAACATATATCAAAATCAAAGTAAAAATCTGAAAAATATCTAGAATGAAAATAAATAATGTAATATGAAAAGATGATATTTTAAAATACAAACAATTTTGAGTATTTATGTATGATAGTACATGTATTGCCAAACCTTGGCCATTCATTCTCCACCTTGAATTTTAACCACTTCATATGATTCCATATGGTAGAACAAGTGTTTATCACCCATTTAAAGCAAGATTTAAATTTTGATGTATAGATAGTCAAGAGCGGAACTATATTATATCTATATATTCGATAAAATTAAGTAATTTTAGATCAAACTATATATTTATGTTTTAAGACTAATCTAATATATGTAAATAAACTAAGAATCCAACACATTATTTTTTTTAGAGTTTAAAATTCATAAATTTAAAGTTTAAGTTCTATATCGACGATTGTGTATATATCTTTTCAGTCTCAATTTATACAACAATCTTTTTTTTTATTTAGTCTCTTAATGAGATGATTTATGACCATAAAAACTATAATATAATTTAGATCATAAACTTCAAAAGATTTTCTTTTTCTATTAAAACTAGTCATTAATCAAATACATTAGTATAACTTGAAACGAAGAAAATATTTTCATATACATTTAAAACAAGTTAAAATGAGATAAATAATTTTACTTTTTAAATTTATAGTCAAATTAAAACAAGAGAGCAACTAGAACCAAGAGAATGAACTACTACTTCTATGTATTGCCAAAATTTGTTGTCAAAGTAGAGGTGAATAGGTAAGGGGTGGAAATGAGTGGTACAAACCAATACTCCCTTATAAAATAGAGTTAAACCAAGAACTCCATAGGCAAAGGGGTCCCATCCTTGTGTTCTATTTTTGTGGATCAAATTCTTGTCTACATTTAAATACTCCAATAGACACTATATACCATAACATTTTAGACCTAGTTAAAAGATTTCATTTTTCAAAAGAATATCTCATTTAAGTTGCCACTAAAGACTTACAAATATGTAGAGTTGTGTGGTTTGTAAATAAGTAATAATAAGATTAATTATGATAAGATAAATTGTGCTGAAATTAGTTATAATGAGATAAGTTATGTTGAGATTTTTTTTTGTTATAGAGTATCTGATTTATTGTATTTAAAATAATATATATTACATAAGTTTAAGAAAAAAATTTATTTATAAAATATTTCGTGAATGTGCAAAGAAATGATAAAAAGGAATTAAAGAGATATCTCTATCTTTTATCTATTTTATCTCGAAACAAGTTATTCCAAAACTAATTATCAATATCAAATTTGTCAATCAAACAATAAATTATATAACCCTATAATATAATCACCAGGCTATTTGGTGTTATATTTCACACCAAACATCCCCATAGATATTATATTACCATTTCAGGGTATATAATTATTGCATTTATTTCAATTTGTGTAGCTAAAAATTACTCTAAAAACCTTCATATTAATTGAGACAAGTATTTTATCAAAGTCTATCTCCATTTTCCTGTTTACTCTATAGTTTAAAACATGATTGATTGATAAAGAAAATCCATTCTACATATTTCAACAATACCAAACAAATTGTATTAAATAAACACAAATTAACCTACATACCACAATTATTAAAAGAAGAAAAAAAGGTTAAGACATTTTCATATTCATTTAATTATAGTAAACAATAGATTGTTCATTCTCATATTTATATATATAAATTCTGCATAAAAATAAAATTGAGTGGAAAAATAAAATCTTATCCTAATCCTAATTAACCATATGATGTATAATTCATCTACTACACCATGTAAAAAAAAAAAACAGATCGTCAAATTAGTGGTTTGTAGTCAATCTGACGGCTATAAATGCTTATAGACTAGCAGCTGTTAAATCCTAGCCGTCCACAAACTTCAGCTATCCACCTCCCCGATTAATTCTTCCGATAAGCTCCACCGTCGCTGAACATCCAATATTTTCAACCCGACCCGATAGAATCTCACCGGTTCTCTGGATCTTTGAAGGCATTTTCACCGGAAATGACTTTACAAACTCAGCTGCTTCGTCACCGCCATGATCCTCCGTCGCCGGCGAGAGCATATTAACTTCCCGATGTGACGTTAAAGTTCCACTATCATCCTAATACAACAAAACAGAAAAATCAGAATCAATTATTCAGGAATTAATGCTATAAAATCATTTCTAAAATATGATTCATACATCTTTTCGCATTCGCTTCAAAGAAAAAAAATCAGTTAACGATTCATCGCTGCTACTGGACGAACTCTCCGGCTGTGGAGGCGGAGTTGATGACCACGGAACAACTTGAATATCTTCCAAATCAATTTCCTCCTTCTCTTCCTCTTCTCTGTCAGTTTCTTCATCATTCACGCATCTCTCACATACAGATACCGTCCGGCCAATTTTCGCACCGCTAGCTGACCAAACCGTCGGCGATCGACACACGTTACATAGCAACGACCTGGAATGTTTTGCTACCAAAAAGTTCGCTGAATGCACCTTCAAATCACAATCCCAACACAAATTCGCGTGGTCAGATTCACAGTAAATCCTAGCTAATCCATTACAAAGCTCACAATTCTTCATCGTTAAACTTTCTAGAAACTTCTCTAGCACAAAAAAAAATTCTTCCAGAGAGAAAATCGAAAACGAATTTTGGAGTAATCTGTTCGGAAAGAGAAGAAGATGAGAAAAAAGAGAGGCCAACTTGCAGTGTATAACTGAAACAACCTCAACTTTGAATATAACAACAAAAATACCACGGCATATTTTAGTATCGATGTAGTTGGGTTAGAGGGGTATTAATGTAAAGAGACTTTAGAAATGGATACCGAAACGACACAGTTTCAGTAGGCAGCTGTTTCCTGTGGTTGATACAAGAGGATATTTTTGTTTTGGGGTATGACGTGGCAGAATTAGGCTGAGGGAGAATCTGATTTGCTGACGTGGATTTATCTGGGCCTAGTTTAAAAGGCCCGTGGGCCACGTGAACTACTAACTAATGGTGGGAGTTTGTTGGGCCCATGGGAATATCATTTGACTACTGTGCTCGAATTGGCGTGAGAGGTTGATTATAATATATCGAAGAAGTTTAGTAAAAAGGTGATTAGACATTTAGTTTATCGAAAAATATGATATTAGATAGTAGTATGAGGAGGGTATGTATTATGATAAAATGTTAGTAGTTATAACTTATAAGTAGTGTATTGTCTTGTTGAATGTTCATGTAAGTTTTACTATATGTTGTTTTTGTTATCTCAAATATCGTATTACTTTGTTGTAGTTTTTCTTTTTGTTACTATCTGTCAAATTTTCTACTTTCATTATTTCATTTTTGTGGTTGTTTTTTCTTCAGCCGAGGACTTATTCGAAACAATATTTATATCTTTAAGGTATAGTAAGATTTGTATACACTCTAGCTCTACCTTTTCTAGTTTTACTTAGCAAAATTACACAATGTATTGTAGTCTACATCTAGAAAATCCTTCGATATTATCTGATCCCTCGTCTTTTTAGTTGATTTTGTGTCATTATCACCAAACGAAAGCTCCCTCGATGTTATCTGACCCGTCACTTATTTATTCTCATTGAGTTGTGACATGGTAAGTTCCCTCCTTTTTATTTCTTTACACAATGTGTGACGCCCAGACAAACGTGCCCTCCTTGATTATCCTTTAACCAACAATCATTTAGAGCTTGTTTTTGTCACTCTTCTTAATCACATTTGGGTTGAATTGAGGCCTGCTCATATATAAGCACTTTTGGGCTAAGGCCTAAACAAGCAGTGCAATTGGTTTAGTTCCACAATTAAGCCTAATTGGATAAGCAAAATTCAACAGCTTCACCACCATGATATATATATATATAAAATACCAAACAAATATGCAACCTAGTATTAGAACAAACTAAATATTTAGAAGTTGAAACTTTGATTATTCTATTTTAATTAAAATGTATTAGAATTTTAATTGATTAACAAAATGAGTTGTTTGAAATATATTTTGCATGTATATCTACATGCGTAATATATTAGCACGATACATTGAGACCTTCTTTTTAATTATCGAAATCATTCTACTCTATTATACGAGTATATATTAGTCGAAGTTGAACAAATTATGATTACCAATTTACAATAGTAGAATACCTAAATTGAAATTAAATATACCGAATTAAATTGGTATTATAGTGATATAATATTTAAAAAAATCAAATACCAAAATTAAATAGCAAGACTTTTAAATATTATATCATACCATACTGTACCGTATCGTACCATAGATTCCATTTAAAACCTAACCTTTAAACATTTCGAAATGTGAATTTTAATATAAACTAATATAAATCAAATTAACTTGAAGCATGATCTTTGTAAAGAATATTATTATTAAATAATGAGGTGTTGGATTGGAAACAGATCTTATTAATTAAAATCTGCATTTTAATTATTTCATGCCGTACAAATCTTTATTTAAGTCGATATACCTTATGCCTAAACCACTGAAAACAATATAATCTCCCTTAAAGAAGTTTCTCTGCTTTTCTCTTAATTATAAATCTCGATTTGAATTTTAGGTATAAAAATAATTTGTAGTAGTAAGCGCTAATTATATCATAAATGAGATTTTAGTTATCTGATGCAAATTCAAATTAATCAAACTTTAATATGAATATCAAAATCAAATATTCTTTTGTATTAAATTATTTATGGTGTGGTTTTACATGTTTCTTAAAAACACATTAATTATTAACTATTTTATCTTTATTTATGTTTTAATTAAAAAATCATTAAATATATATTTTATTTATGAGTCATCCATCCATAACTAAAGTGTTTGTAACTTTTTAAGAACAATTACTGCTTAAGTAAAATAATTCTTTTTATCGTTAATTTAACACAATTATTTTTTTTAAAATCATAATAAATAATTTAAGACATATAAAATATCAATATAAAAATTCTCAGTTGTTATATTATCTTATTAGTTCGATTTTAGTCAACTCCTAGAAAAAGACAAAGGAGGCATATACCCCTATCGTTGGGAGATGCTTCAATACAAAATTAGGTAGGAATATTTTGATGAATTATTTGGGTCATTAATTAACTTTAACCCATACCTTGATGTGATATTTTATTAGAAAATATTTTCTCTATTTCCGATGTAGTGATGGCACCTGTTATTAAAATTTATCTAGATTCGATATTTCTTTATTTAATAAATAAATATAACACAAATAAAATATACATTGTCAAATTTTCTATATTGATATCTTTTTTGAAAGAGGTGAATTTTTTTTAATCTTGTAAAAATTTGATTGTTATTTTCTTTCATTCTATAGAATACGACGTAAAATAAATATAAATATAAAATTTATTATATAGAATAAAATTCTTAAACTATACTTAACTACAACTACTATCATAAATCTTTTTTTGAAAAAATGGTACTATAAATTATTCTATTTTAAATTACGTTCCTTTCAAATAATTAAATCTCGTAATTTTAAAAAATAGCTCTTGACTTTATATGGCAAAACCAACCTATGATATTCAATATATAATTTAACTATAAATCCGAATTTACCCTTTAGAAAGGTACTTTTATAATTATTTTCATTATAATGTCACTCTTGTTTACTTTTTGCTGTGATATCAATTGTCACAACATTTTTCCAAAATTTTTTCTATCTATCAAAAGCTAATGTCAACTCTTTTTTTCTTAGTAAAATATAATACTTAACAAAACCATATGTATAAGTCGTCAGCCTTCACTTATTACAATATTTTAATTTTAAATACTAAGAATGAGAGGCGTTGAAATATATATGCAATCATTTCATTTAAAAATTTGAATTACTAGAAATATCGTATTTTTATATTCTCTTCATTTATAATTGTTTGTCACGATAAGATCATGCACTTTTTTTTAAAAAAAAATATAAGATGTAATTTAACTAATATAACTTTACTATAGCAAGAATATAAAAAATGTACGTATCTTTTCAATTGAACAAAATGGAGTAATCATTAAAAACAGAATTGAAAAAAAAATACTAAATATTTCTTAATTGTTTAAATCGACAATTGATCTTGAAAATTTATTTATAGTATACCTTTCAAACGTTTATGGATCAGAGGGAGTATTAATTTATTTTGATCGCAACACGGCGTCACATATGAACCTAAATCCTAATTCTTTGTTATAGAACAAAAAAAATTAATAATAAGTTAACTTTGAACTAATATCATAGTGAAATGTGTGATCATTTCATTTAAAAATTTAAATTACATTGTTAAAAAATAAAATATTATTTATTTGATTATGTTTCATCATAAAGGAGAGAGAAAAAAATTGACTTCATTGATACCATGATTTAGCAACGTTAATTTCTTGAAGAATTCAGTTGTTAGACTTTCTTTTTAAAAAAAACGCAATAATGCAAGTCCGTTATATATTTAAAAATACATCAAATGATTAAGGAAGATACTCCATCCGCCACTATTTTTATTTGTAAAATATTTTCTAACTTAGGATTCTTTTTATTTGTCATTTTTTTATAAGCAAGAAATTATCATGTTTTTTTAAATTATATTCTTAATTTATTGTCATTTAGTTAATAATTTTTGAAAAATATATTTTCTTCGTTTTAAAATGATTAAATTATTGAGATATTATTTATATTTCAAAATTTAAAGTAACATAATTGTTCGATCTTCAAGACAACTCTTAGAATATTCTCTTATTGTTTTCTCTTCATTTAGATTCGCTGTATGATTCAAGAAACTATAATTACTTTTGAATTTCTTTTAGACTAATTAGACGATAATTAATAAAGGCAAAAATAGAAAGTAATGTCTAACTTATGTCTTAATATTCTTTTCTTAAAAAATATGAAATACCTCAATAAATCAATTATTTTAAAATGGAGAGAGTAGTAAGTTAATATATTTGGAATCTTATCATTTAATAATATAAAATAATAAATTGACTATATTAATAATTGTTTTCTTAAATTATGTGTCAAATTAAAATTTGACAAGTAAATAGAGACGATAAGAATAGACGTAAAGAAAGGAAAGTATTGAAAAAGAGCCAGATGAATTAACAATTTAATTTTTTGGATTCGACATTTAATAAGAAAATTAACCGGACACTGTTCTTGCAAAATTGGGTTATAAATTTTTGTTATTTTGGTAAATTAATAATTGAGATTTGTTCTTTATATATATGAACCTTATAATTTGAATTTATTTGAGGTGAATTTAAATATGAAATCATATATTTCAATTGTTGAAGTTGGAATAACACGAAATGTTATATGAAAGTGTTAAAGTTATATTTTCAATAAAAATACTGTCTAAAGTTATATAAATTCAATAATTAAAATATGTAATTATAAATCCAATAATTAAAATAAATTACGAGTCTAATAATAAATTCAAAATTTCACTAATATTTTATTTAATTTTTAATAGTAATTAGTGTGTGTGTTTGGTTGGGGGGGGGGGTGTTGACTTACGTACAGGGTACAACTTAGTACACATGATCTAAGGTTCTTAATTCCTTGAATAATTCAAAGGTCAG